GAAATGGTAACTATTTTGCAATCACATCTAGGATGCGCTAGTTGTAGTGTTCCGTCGGAGTAAACATATGTCAAACTTTTTTTGTCCTTCAAAAATCTGAATTTCCAGTAAGAAATTATTAAACTACGTTCAATTCTAAATAAAAAAGATATACCTCTTAAAAATCGATAAACTTAACCGTTTTCGAAATAAGAACGATTTACTATTTCTTTACAAACTTATTTGTTTGAACGTACGCCTTTAAATAAGATGACTTAAATGAAGTAGGCCGCTGTCAATGATATGTTATGTATTATTTATGTCAATTCTAAGCAACTTATAAATACCACAGTTTAGTTCTTCTTGGTTTGTGATTTTTTTCATTAACAATCGAAAGATCGAAAAGAGGCAACATTCGGATAAGGCATATTTGGCTTAATTGCTCTATTTTGAGGTCAGCAACATGCCCTTAAGCTCTGTCCCATTATTAATGAATCACCCTGTATATGGTCTAAGAATTATTTGATGTTAAAGGCAGTTACCTACTTCTTGCAATACCTGACACCAAGACGGGCATTTCAAGAAAATTTACAATTATAGAAGAATTATTTTGCGTGAATGCTGTTGAAATATGCAGAAAATATATTTCTCTGAGCCCAATTCGCCTAACAAGACATTCTTTTTAAGATATATCAATCAGGTAGTTGCTTCATTCCTGACTATCGCAAATCCAGAAGCATATAATGGCCATTGTATGAGGCGCACTTCAACATCTTTATTGGTCAATAAAGGTGCTGATCTTACTTACAACCATCAAATGGCATGGTGGATGGAAGAGCTCCTTTGCAGCAGAAAGTTATGTTGAGGAGTCTAAATCTAACAAACTTGACATTGCAAGGAAAATCCAAGGAAAATACAGTTGTTCTTTACAAGAAGAGACATCCGTAACTTGTGCAAATTCTTCACAACCTTCGGCGGACGTTATGCGTTCCGAAAATGACGGCAATAATGCTACAATGGAAAGGAAGTTAAATGTGATGAAACAAAAAACGAAATGTCTATTATTTTAAATGTAAATGTTAATGGTAATAAGTAAGTAAATCAAATTTTATTAATTATAGGTTTATATTTTTTTTATTAAACTACTAGTGAAATAAAGTTACTTTATTCCACTAGTGGATAAAGTATCACTTTAGACGGTTCATATGTGTGGATAAAAGTCCGATTATAAGGTGATTGTGGATAAAATATATTATCTTTCGTCAGCAGAGTCACCAAATCGTCGGTCGTCTCGCCTACGGTGTATTGATGGGAACAAATAAGTTCGAAACCGGTATATGTCTGGTCATTCTGCTGACGAATAATCTTAATTTTTACTAGAGATTGCGCGAGCAATAGTAAAAAAAATGCTGATGTTTTGTAATAAAATTGTAGCAAAAATTATGTTTAAAACTGATTAATCTTTCCATAGTCAGGCGAGTGGAGTGATAGTTGATTTGAGTTGGTGCTCTGTATAAATTGAAAAATTGACTGGTATGTAGTGAGTGAAAAATTTGTAATTTGTTGAATAATATATCAAACGAAACTTTCCTCTTGGTCTATCCATATATATGTGCAATTTTAAATCAGCAACTAGAGCGGATAACGTAACCTGTATGAGTATATACAAATTTTATACATAAACCAGTTGTTAGGAAGAAAAACATTGCCCAGTTTTTATCTCAATATTCTATTCTAAATCCACCAGCCAAAAAAAGAAATAAAAAACAAGAAATAAAAAACGACCACACGCTGTCTATATTTATTTTGTTGTAATTAATATGACCGACACTAATTATCAAATTTTAAAGGAAATAAAGGAATGTAAACAGGATCTTAAATCTTTAATTGAAGCCGTAGAAGTTAGAATTTCCCTGAGAATAGAGGAAGTAAATCACAAGTTTAATAAAATTGAAAGAGATTATCAAGAAGTGTTAGAAAGAGTTGAAAAGATAGACAGAAAGGCAAGGGAAAACAACATAATAATTTTTGGACTGAACAAAAAATCTGAACAAATAGATGTCAAGCTCATTTGTACAGAAATAAAAGGATTGCTTGATATAGACGTCAAGGAGTCCGATATAAACAATTTCTATACACTGGGAAAGAAGGAAAATTGTCCTGTTAAAATAGAGCTTATATCCTATCTAGTAAAGTCCACTATATTTAAAAATGTGAAAAAACTGAAGGGAACAAACATTTTTATTGCCCATGACCTAACCATTAAAGAACGAAATAAACAAAAAATTTTAAGAAAACATTTATTTATTGCCAAGCAAGAAAAAAGCAATGTATGTTACATACGGAAAAATCAACTTTATGTAAATGATAATGTGTACGATGCAGAGCAGTTAGAGCAAACACAAGAAAAGTCATTGGATCTTACTAATTATAAACCAAAAAGTGCACCAGGAACTCCTGTATCTTCCCAACAAGAAGTAATAACATTACCATTGGAAAACCAAAATAAGGATCTTAGTGTAAGAGAAAGAATCCAATCGTCAAGTTCTCTACCTGTTGACACTAGAAAGATCAAAGAAATAAAATCCTCCGTCTCAAAGTTAAACAAGGAAAGTGGAAAGTCAGATCGGATGGCTACCCGTTCCGCACAATCCAAAACAGGACTATAAGTGGGCGAATTGAAAGTACATATAAATTTAATGTAATTTATAATTAATAAATTTAATATAATTTAATAAATTGAATGTCTTCTGTATTTATGTTTTTTTATCTAATAGTGATTTTTGATNACTGCATTTCTTCAGACATTTTAAAAACGACCCGACGCGACATCAAATTTCAACTGACACTTAATGAAACGTCAAAGCTTCGTAAATCTTTAATTCGTTACTAGGATACTTACTTACACATTGTTACATTTTTTTACTAGTTAAAAAATGAAAAATATTTGTACTAGTTAAACAATGGGCTGCTTCTAAAGGAGGTGTTGCACTATATAATATAAGTATTATTATACGCTTGAAGAAAAAGTCCGATTATAAGGTGATTGTGGATAAAACATATTATCTATCGTCAGCAGAGTCACCAGACCGTCGGTCGTCTCGCCTACGGGGTATTGATGGGAACAAATAAGTTCGAAACCGGTATATGTCTGGTCATTCTGCTGACGAATAATCTTAATTTTTACTAGAGATTGCGCGAGCAATAGTAAAAAAAATGCTGATGTTTTGTAATAAAATTGTAGCAAAAATTATGTTTAAAACTGACTAATATTTCCATATAGGCCGCTATTCCCTTAACTGTGTGGTGCGTTTCATTTTAAATTACAAAATAAAGTAATAACCGGAAAACGGCTCGTGTTTCCAAGATTCACGACATAACGAGAAAAGCTTTTAGGTGGTAACAGCTTCAACACCCAACTTTTCCACGCCGTGATAAAATAATTTCTCTGTTATCGTCGCCCTTGGGAAAGCACAAATGAAAGTTAGGGGAAAAAGTGTGCACATAAATTCATTTAAAGGAAACTTTCGTTCGTATCAGTAAACATGCGTGCTATCTCAGTTGCCTTGACCTCTACTCGAATAGACGGAAGTAATAAATACCAGTGACCGTCACTTGTTTATTACCTATATAATTCTCGAATTTACACTCGTAGTAATAGCCGCCTGCATTACCCTGATAAAGTGGCGGCTACAGGCAGTCTAGTGTTGACTTACGCAGACAACTTTTTAATATTGCTATTTTGTATTCTAAATAGCGATTGTGAGAGTTTTATAAGTAACTAGTAATATTTCAAAAATATTTTTAATAACTTAAAATACAGGGTGTTAATGATAAGTTTTGCCAAACTTTAGTGGTGTATTCTACCGATGAAAATAATCAACTATTGCCTTATAAAAATTTTTGATAGGACGCTTCCTTATGGTGTTAAATGTTTTAAATATTTATATTATTTTTCCTGTAACTTTACTGGCAAAAAATATTAGTGATACAATTTGGGAGATGACATTTTTTAGTAGGGACTATTTTTTCATGGATAACGTATTCCAAAATACTCGCATGTGGCGTTATTATTGGGGGACTAGGGGACCTTTTTTGAAAAAAAATCGTACGCCACTGGTTTTTGTTAATAATTTTAAATGTTTTCAAAATGTACAATCAATTTGTGGCAATAAAGTATTCTTGTAAAGTATTCGTAAAATTTACTGATTTTTAGATAATTGGGAAATCACATAAGAAGATACATAAGTACCTAAGTTGCTATTTATCATTTTCTGTTGATTGCTAAATATGTAACAATAAATTCAATACCTAATATTTTTGAGAGATTTCAAAACACTATAGAATGCCACTGTTTTGTGTGTTGCAAAAAGTTTGTTATACAACTAAAAACAAATTTTAATAAAAAAATAAAATAAAAATTTTAACAAAGAAAACACCATCACCCTACGAAATACAAATCAATTGAAACAACCATAAATTTTTGCATTAAATCGTTCAGTCTTCCATTGAACTAGTCACACCAACCAAACAATCATGAAATTTACACCAATAAATATTGCTTAAATCAATACAATGTTGTACTACGTAACATTATAATTGATATTCAACATAATTGGTCACTAACAACCCATTAGATTATTCGACTATTTATAAATGAATTGATTTGTGTTCAGCAAACAAAGCTGTGACATCTGTCGGAAAATCAAGTAACTAACACGTTGCTTTGTGTAGAATTCTAACTTGATTATTAGTATCACCTTTTTTAAGTACTGTTGAGTTAGAAATATAATTGGATAAGTTTTTCATGTTTGAATAAGAAATTTTCCTCTAGTCCATAACGGTCTTTTCTGATTGATATGTTAGTAATAATTAAAACTCGATTTATTGGATAAGGAGCATGGGACACTATCTGTGGGAGTCCTAACTATCGGTGAAAAAATAATCATCGAAGAAAACCGGGATCATTTTTTATTTAAAATGTATTAATCCCATGAGATGAATTCTGAGAATTTAATTATTTAACAGTTAAAATTCTGCACTATAAGTTCAATAACAAGCGCTAAACTTGCACCGAGATAACCCATTAGAAGCATATAAAACACAGGTACCAAGGTGTCGAAGTTAATTTGAACTTTTTCAACATCTTCAGGGTGGCTTCCTATTCTTTCAGATTTATTCATCATAATGTCTCTCATCCATTTATTAATAAATCCTCCTTCGACAATTCTGCAAATACCTTTATCAAACAAACTGAACAGTGGGAAACCTTTCCTCATCAGAATCGTTAACGAGAAGGAAACAACGTTCTCTTTTAAACAAAATATCGCTCGTCTTTTATCTCTAGCTTGATTGTTTAACAGATAGTCTTTATACGACCTAGGCATACATACTGCTATGTCCTTTTTAGATGATATAGTATTAAAGCATTTAGGAACATTGGTACAATTCCTCCATCTCTGCGTTATAACGTTCAAAGGTACGCTGTGTAACTGTTTCTCGTCATTTCCACTGAAGAACAATTTAGTATTAGGTGCGAAATACGTGCGCAGGTTATGCTTATAAATTTCTTCCATACTTTCATATTTCTGTCTGTAGTTAGGCGAAGACAGGACACTGGTAAGGTAGCTCGTATATATCATATTTAATTTGAGACTGAATATTATAAACATACAAGCAAGACATCTCACTCTCATCGTTTTTGGTAGTATACTTACTACCAGTCCAATAGATATCAGAAAATTGTTGAGCAAGCAGTTAGGCAAACTCCTATAAGACAAGTGTTCACCCCCTTCAAAGTTACTCGCATACCACATGCAGACACTAACAATAAAATAGAGAATACAAACCAAAATCCACACCTCGAATTTAAATATGTTTAGGAAGTTTCTGAATCCGGTTATTATAGGCGTGTGTGGAACGCAAAACAGTAGTGAATCTTGGATATGGCTTTGGGGGGAGTCAAACAACACGGTTCTATGGGGAGTATTAACGTAGCCTCCTACCACAAGGTCTACATTGTTCTCCTTCAGCAGTTTTAGATCTTTCGTGGCAGAGTAGTCTTTCCCGACGCCGCCCCAACCATCGAAGGAAGATTTTTGGTATATAAGTGACAAGTTCAGTGTGTTCGCAATTACATTCAGTAGGTTTACATCGATTCCTAAGTCTGCATCGTAATGTGGAACCTGCAATTACAACGATAACTTTCCCTACAAGCCCATCGTAAATTTTCAATGGGTCATTTGACCCAGCATGAATTACTACTATGAATAAATGAATAGAGGGTTTCACCCTGTATTCTTAACCCCAGTATCAATTTTTCTGGCTTCCGGTATTATTATTTTTGTACGGCATTTGGTCGAAGTTCATCTCACCGTACAATTAAAAATTGAGGGCATATCTAAAGTTAGTGTTACATGTGGTAGTATATTTATAAGTAATTCATGCTGGGTCAAATGACCCCTTGATAATTTCCGATGGGCTTGTAGTCTATAAATTTGCATTTGTAAAATTAAACTAAATTGCAGTATCAACTTTTAGATCTACCTATTTTTTTAGTACGCGTTTCAATGCTGGATCTCTTTACCTGTGCAATTGGCTTCACACTCATGACGTAAGGCAACCATACCATATACTTTACTTTTACAGGACACCCATGCAAGTTCTTCGGTATTTTGTTTCTAAACCAATCAATATTGGAGTCAGTTACACCAAAAGAGCAACTGCCAACTGGCAGTACGTCGCTAAAATTGGTCCCACAGCTGTGAGAGCTGTAAGGTTTCCAGGAGTACACTTTAAAATTCGTGTTATTTTCGTTGTCGACAAGTAAAACTGCTGCGTTTACGACATTATTGTTCCACAGCGACTTGATGACGCCAATGGCTACATTCAGAGGGTAACTAAACGCTGTTGAGGAGACCACCAGAAATTTTGCGTGTGGGTTCCACCTTGTAAAACGCTTCAACCTTCTTATATTCGCCTCAAGCTCTCCTTCTTTCTTTATTTGAATTATGTAACTGGGGGACTTACCGATGTATCTATGATTGATTTGTTGTGCGGTTTTCAAATCCTTTATCAGAAGCGCAAACCGCTGATCCGATTCTAAAACAGGTAGAACCAGTTCATTTAACACAGTTGCAGAGGCAAAATCTCTTTCTATTAGAGGTAAAGAGTAAGTGACGGTTTCGAAATTTGAATGAAAGAAACGTCTGCAAGCTTGGAAGATGCACATGCTGAGAGACCTCCGGATCTCTTCATTTTTAGATATGTTTAACCTAATGTACTGCATTTGTGTGCCAATATGCAGGAATAGGGAGAATATAAAGATAAGCCGAACACCTAAGTACATTACGGTACAACACTGGAAATTTGTATACAAGATTATTTTTATTTATTGATTTCATGTTCGGACGAAGAAGATAAAATCTAGTAAAATAACGGGTTTGCAATATCAAAATGTATGATTATATGTGTAGGTAAACATTAAAGAGACATTTATTTGTCATTATGTCATTTTGATTTGGTATGAATTGTTGTATAAATGTGTTTTTCGCATTTTGTCTGACAAAAGGCTGTTTTATTAAATTGAAAATCATTTACTAAAGTGCCACTTTACCACATGAAATGTCACTTACTATATAGTAATCACTGTTAATAAAAAATAGTTTACCATAAAATTGTTTATTTAAATATTGGAAACACTGTTTTGTACAGCGCCTTTCAGAAGGACCTCCCGTAAATGTAAATGCAGGGGGTGATAGTAAGACAAGAAATAAGAATTTTTCTCCTATGAACTATATGTCTATCTCCTCTTGTTTTCGAGATACAGATATAAAATAAATTATAAAATTATAAACATTTTTAAATAGAATTTTTACGAAAGTTTCCAAACGATTCAAATTTTTTTATGAAATTTGATATTCCGGGGTTTTTAAGGATGCCAAATACGCTGGTCTAATATTTTTTTGGATATTTCATAGAGGGCGCTACAGCTTATGCTACAATCCTATTACATGTTAAGTTCTATTTTTTTTAAGGTTAGGTTTTTTACCATTCGGGCTCCAATTTCTAATGTACAATTTTATTTTCTAAAAATAATGTACTCTTGTTAGAACTTTCTAATGTGGACGGTTTTCGAGAAAAAAGACTTTTAATTAAACTCTTACAATATTACGGTATATAAAATATGTGGCTTCTCTCAAAGTAGGCTTATGTCAAAACTTATTGATGGATGTCTCATATACAACGCATACATTCTTAGTAATATTTTAAACTCTAATTAACCTTACATCAAAATTTGAGTGATTGTTAGTGACTGTAGTTAGTAATGACTAATTTTTTGTAAAAATTCTATTTAAAAAATTTATTTTGTCGTTCTGTATCTCGAAAATATAAGGAAATAGACATATAGTTCATAGGACAAAAAATTCTTATTTTTTGTCGCACTATCACCCCCTGTATTTACGGGAGGTTTTTCTGAAACACCCTGTATATACAGGCTGTTACAAATTCGCTTCTCACTACAGGGATCTCGGAAAGGTAAAATATACGAAATAGCTTAAATGGGGACAAAGTTGCATAATCAGGGGACCAACAATATACATCTAAAACATCAAGGCTAACATGATTAGTTTTCGAAATATTTGAAAAAAAAACGAAATTTTGGAAATCTGTTTTTGTTGAGGGGATATTGAAAAAAGAACACTTTCTTATGGCCACTTTTTGCCCTCTATCGAATGGCATAATCAATTTTTATATGTAACGTTTCGTTTCCCCAGAACCGTCATCAACTTCATTTTTTTTAAATACGACCCTGAAATTTTATTACATTTTTTACAAGCCTTCTGACCCCCAATATTGTATTGCCTCAGCCCGAACAGATTCGGACGTTTTGTCTTGAAAAATTCATGTATTCGTTCCAAATATCTCAAATTTTTAATTTAGATTTCCATGTTTATTGAATTATCGTACAGTCGTTAGACTATTATTAGTAAGGAATAAAATTATAACTTTAGTTAAATTAATAAAAAAATCTATTACTTAACAAGAGGAAAATCCGTTTCCGATATGAACAACGTAAGTTTATACCAGATACAACAAACTGTAAAAACATCCCCCCATATTTTATCTCTAAAAAATGAGACTATGCCATCTGTATATGAAGATGAGACACCATTACTATATAAATTTAGCAAAGAATCCATGTTAAGTGATAAAAAGAATTGCACCAAGTACAATTCCCTGAAGAATTTTGACTTCTATAATCGATTTTTACAAACCGCATTCTATGGCTCAAATATTTTTTTAATATTTATAATATCCCACCTGACACCGCAATGGTCTAGGACATATTTTCAAACTTTCAGCAAATGTTGAAATTCAACCGATTCTAAATATTTGAAATAAATGTCTTTTCGGGTTGTAATATCGTGGCCTATCTGGTCGACCCCACTTTCCTTGTTGTTCTCGCGCTAGACTTTATGGGGGGTTAACACGCCATTAGAACCTCTCCTGAGACAAATACATTTTGTAAGTAGCAAATAAATACTCATAATATCGGTCAGCTGAAGTACAATTTGTAGTAGAAATATATAATGAGGATTGATAGTATATTTTTTTGACTCAATTATTTAGTTTACGAAGCAATAGGAAATATAGTTCAATATCAGTGCCAATTAAAATAAAAAATTACTATTTAATCGGGATATAATGTTTCTGTGTATCAACTGACCATCTCACATATTCGTTATAATTATGCAGAACTCCATAACTCCACATAACGAATTATTGTCTGGTCGACTTTTTCAAACGTATACGTAACTTAGAAAATAATAACTTGCCTGAAAAACAATTATCCTAGCTAAAGCATTAACATATCGTTAAAGCTATATTACCCTGCTCTCCCTTAGGGAGTAATATTATACCTATTTCCATTATTAGTTCAATTTTATATCAAGAGACTTATCTTCTACAAAATGTACATGATGAATGTGGAAATAATTCTGAACGTATCACTACTCCTGAATATCTATCAAACAAGGACAGTTGAAACCAAATTACAACCATTATCGTCAGGTGGAATTAAATCAACAACTTCCTTAAGTCAGTGTGTGAAAGAAATATCAAAATTGTATTTCAGAAACGATTCCAAACTATTTGCCATATTCGCATCTTACAACAGGCATGTAGATGTAATACTTAAAATAATAGAAACCGAAGGTTACTGGAATTTAGAAGTAAGTCACCTAACAATGATTAATTTTTCACCTGAACATTTTGGAAAAACTAATAATTACTTAATTTACGCGAAAGATTCCCTTGAACTTGTCCCTGTCCTTCGAGCGTTAAGAAGTGTTACATCAAAAAACTACCGTACTAAACTAATGATTGTTTCCGCGACAGTTTTTGAAAATCCACGAAACGTCGCCTCTGATATAACCAGCCTACTCGAACAAGAAAAAGTGACTAAAGCACTAATATTCCTCACAGGTGTAAAAAATACAACCAGATACACCGTTCACTACTGGAACTTGTACTCAAAATTAACTCACAATATCACTAAACTCCCAGTAAATTACTGTTCCTTTGGTATAATGCGCAGGTATAGAGTTGATGAAGTCGTCGCGAAATGTAGAACAGACTGCGAGATCAAGGTATATTATAAAAGTTTTCCACCTTACGTCATCAAAGCCGAAATGGGACAACAGTCGTCGAACTATTTCACGAGTCAAGGATTTGAGATAAATCTGCTGAACATGATAGCAAATCATCTGAATCTTCGAGTAAAATACGTTGAATCCATAGATTTTTGGGGCGATATTTACGAAAATGGAACCGTTACTGGGGACTTAAGGTTATTATTAAATAACTCAGCAGATGTTTTAATAGGAAGTTATTCAAGGACAGTACTAAGAGAAAAATATTTCGATTTAACTATACCCTACGTACACGAACATATGGTGTGGTGTGTACCTCACACACCTATATACCAATTTCGGAACATAGTTGATATATTCAGTTTTAAAATATGGATGCTAATTTTCATGGCATACATTTCAATTTCCGCTTCTATGTGGGTCCTAAGTTTTCGCAGTTTGGAAGAGTATGTTCATTATAAAAGCTTAAGCTGTATTTTGTTTCAAAATTTAGTTATTTTGTTGGGTATATCAGTAAATGTCCTGCCGCGTAGTTTTAGAATTCGATACCTGATGGCTTTGTACTTATTTTTTGCTTTTATGGCTTCTTCATTGTACACCAGCTACCTTACTAGTATACTCGCCACCCCTAGGTTTGTGCAAAAATATAATTCAATGGGAGACGTGTATCGTTATAATCTATCAACATATATGATGCCAAATTCTATAACTCGATTCACTGACGATTTTGATACAGTAAACGATGTACCTGTATCGCTGATTAAGAGGAAGTGGATAAATTGTTACGATGTTAGCGAATGCCTCGAAAAAGTTGCCGCTTCAAAGACATACGCTGTTTGCGTCGCCAAATTATACAAAGATTACTTGATCAGAACCAGAGAGATTCCTTTACACTGTATGAATCAAAATCTCGTAATTTTTTATATGAACATCGTGATGAGGAAAGGTTTTCCCCATGGTCAGTTATTTAACATCCTTATTAACCGGATTGTCTCGGCAGGATTTTTCAGCAAGTGGATCAATGATTTACTGCAACCGAAACCAAAATGGAACTTCTCCGAAACTGGGAATTACAGTATAACTTTCAAACATTTAAAACCTTTTTTTACTATATTTGTAGTGTGTATGTTCATTGCCTTCTTAATTTTCCTTGGAGAACTTTCAGCCTCAACTATTTGTAGCTTTCTCTTTTAGGTATCAAATATAACCTTAGTTTTGCCACATAATGAAAAAAATCCTAATACATACACTTTATAGTATATTCATTACAATAAACAAGCATATATACATTCAGTCAAAAAAGTATTTGGAATTTGTCAATAAAAGACAATATATTCGATTAATCACCAACATTTATTTTGTCTTCAAAAGTCAAAACACTTTTTAAACGCATATTCCGATATAGATTATCACTCCTTCAGCGATTTTGGTTTTATGGCTTCTATGAACTCGAAACGTATTCCACGAACCAGTAATTTGAGTTTGGGAAAGAAGAAAAAGTCAGCAGGGGCCATATCCGGTGAATACAGTGGCTGCTGGATAAGATTCGGTGAATTTTTGATCAAAAATCCACTAATAACTATCGCTTTGTGTGATGGTGTATTATCAGGATGCAAAATCCAAGAATTGTCTT